TATTATTCGGCATTTACAGCCACTCCCCCCCAATTCCGTCCTCAATCTACAAAGCAAACTTTCATTATCAAACCTCCCTAAACAGAATCCTCTGCCGTGATAAATCACAAATTACGGGACTACCTCCACTGGGAGATTCTTCGGTCTATGAATGCGTATTCCAATGGGATGTATTATCTCGAATGGGGATTTGTCGATCTTCTTCTATGAAAGGATATTTCTTGTAATAGTGCTGTACTGGCTGCTACTTGGTCTTTTTTGGCGGCTTTGAGACGGTCTCGGAGTGAGGAGAAATTGGTTGTGCTGTCGAATCGCCGGTTTATGGGTGTGTGTTTTAGGATCTGGGGGCCTGGTTAGTTATGGAGTGTCTAGTTAAGAAGAGATATTGTTATTGTTATTGTTTATATTTATTTACCTCTTCTAATTCTGGATTGATTTTCGCAAGTCCAAGAAGATATTCTGGAGAATGCATTTTGAGATTGATTATATGAGCGTGATGTGATGTGATGTATGTGTATGTGTGGTTTAAGAAAATAAATATCCAAACTGTGAGATTTAGAGATATAAAGTTTACTTATTAACATATTAATAAATATTCAGGGACGACGTGGAAAATCCCCATTTATTTATTTATTTATTTATTCCTTCATTCCTTAGTTCCGATGGTATGGGAAAACGTTCGGATACTAACGATCTTGCTTGCTACGATTGATTAGTTAGTGGAGTCGCATCCCCCCACAGCTTTCGTGAGTATTACTACTTTGAGAAAGGCTATTTTTTGACCGATACGACAACCACAATCATGAAGATGATGTTTTGAAAAGTTGGGGAAAAGCCTGTAAAGAGAGATCTGATTTGTTAACTGAATGAATGAAGCAAGCTATTAAGCGGGAATTTCATACGAAGTGCTACGAATATCGTACATGGTATGTATCATTGTGGTACTATTGTTCTTTCAACTCGAATGTAGGATCTTATATGTCATGAATGCGCGTAATGATAATGATATCAGGAGTCAGAAGAGTCGTTTTATGTCGTGGATGTGATGATCTTCCGACTGGGTGAGAATAGTGACAATGCTTCTTATTAGTGCTAGGGATAGAGTTTGATCTTCGAAGGTGTCTATCTAATTGATCAGTTTCTCAAACTAGATGCTTTTGACACAGTATATCTGTATCTCAAACACAACGTTAGCATGCCGCAGAATATTATCAGCTTCATTTCTCCAAAATATGTAGAACAAATATAACAACTTGTATGATCCTTCGTTCAAATACTTCAAATAAGACTTTCAGTAAGTTTAGATCGGACAGAGACGATTTATGACACCGTATAATTCGATTCAAGTCTCTAGGTAGGTATGAACACTTTGTCAGGAATTTATTTGATCACTATTAGTTCATCCTCATCCTCATCCTCATCCTTCTTTGCAAGCTTCCTTCATCATAAATCATAATAACGAGACGAGACATCTTATAACAACTGCATCTTATATCGAACGTGTGTATCTTGTAATATAAGTTCCTCTAGTTGATAAAGCTGGTCAGGGTGATATGAGTATGAATTCTACCTCAGTCTGTAGAACTTCGAGGTTTTAGAGTTATGATCGCCTATGATTACGAGAATTGCGCGTTAAGTAACATTTAACCAACACCAACAGTTAGACAAAACATAAGGTTACAGTTAAGTAGCCGATACTTATTATCACACAGAGATTTTCAAGAGTTTAAAATTCGCTGAATATGAACATTTCCATCTCAATTAACAGTGACTTACTTCAAGAGAACTAACCTCGCCCTCATCTCAAGCCACTGTGGCTGATGAATAAACAATCAAGCACGTCTTTTAGGTACCACTTATCGAATCGATCTCACTATTCATCATATTCATTTGTACCAATCATGAAAATGATAATAAATTAATAGATAATTCTATACGACATACGGAGTATTGAACAAAATATATTCTGACTCATTCGGTGAAGTTCATTGCATACTCACACACAATCAATAAACACCCAAGTACCTATAAATAGCATCGACAGCTATGCTGTGTCAAGTCCCCATCCCCATCTCAAC